AATAATGTGTTGAGCCGAAAGTATGGGTATGGCGCACTGTTGGCAGATATAGAATGCTTGACAGATATGGCAGTGCTTGGCTGATATGACGCTTGCAGGGGAAATGGGGTAAGTACAATTAGCAGCATCGCATATACAAAAAACAACACATCATGGTCAACACCACATCATATAATCACTGTGTGTTAACAACACCGGATATTGGTACCAGGCAGGCGGTGATCACACGAAGTGGGCTTCTGTAGCAGGTGAGTTTTTTCCTATATTTTCCTTACTTCAGAGGCTTGTATGGTCTTTGGCTTTTTTTGTATCAATTCCTCACATTTTCAGCAATGGCTTAAACCACAGAGAACGTTCCTATATGGGTCAATATTTCTTCTAGACTTGCAAACACGCCGCCTGGTATCGGCGAAAACTCACGAGTGATACTTACCACGTGTCTGAATTAGTATTGTAGTGGTGTGTTTTTTTTAACACCTAAAACTAATTAAAATGTATATGCATTACATTCATTTATCATATTTTCGAACTCGGAAATTATGAGAAATATGCTGACATAATTGCATAGCATTGTACGGCGACTTGCAATTTGCATGATGCCGTACAGTAATCTAAAAACAAACATTCAAGTTGCCGTACAGTTCGACGAAATATTTTTGACGATATTTGATATAATACAATGCTTTCACTGACATAATGAATGTGTGTAATGTAGATACATCTTTATTTAGCTGTAGGCAATACATTAATTCAGACACGTGGTAAGTATCACTCGTGAGTTTTCGCCGATACCACACGACGTGTGTGAAAGTCTGGAAGACATAATGGCCCATTAATGGACGTTTTCTATGGATAAAATAAACGCTGAAAATGTGAGGTATTAATCCTTAAAGCCTCGAGCACATGACAGCCCCTGAATTAAGGAAAATATAGAAGAAAAACTCACTTTCAACTGCATCTCGTGTGATCACCGCCTGTTTGGAGGCAATATCCGGTGTCGTTAACACAAGTATTAATCAAAGAATAATGCACTCTATGTTTTAAATGCCAAAACCTGAACAGCACACAGCAATTATGGCAAATCTTACGTTTGATGAGGCGGAAAAATGTTTTTATTGATTAGCAATCGTTAGCAAAAATGTCCGCTGTGTTTGCATTTCTTACATGCATTCTGCATGCCCTTGAGTGTAAAATTGAAACTTATTAATTAAACAGGGCACTGAAAGTTTAGTTGTCAATAGTAATAAATAGAAAGAAATAATAGAGCTGCTCTATCAAATCAAGTAGTGTGTAAAACATTAATTAAACACATACTTCGAAAGAGGATATGCCCCGTCTCCAATCAAGTGGCTCTGTGTCGGGAAAAGCTCCGATGCTTTAAGGCAGACACTACTGTTTGTGTAAATCCTGGCATCATGTACAGACCCTGGCCATCCAACATATACATCGGTGAATCCCATTTGATGATCAGCCACTGCCTGTATATGAGTCATTATCAGAAATTGTCAATGTTCTGAATTGAAAAAAATGCAAAAACAACATCAATAAACAATCAATTTTATATAACCAAACTGAAGTACATATATCAGTATTTAATTATTTCAATACCGGAAATCTGAAATATTACCTGTTTGGTTACCATAGCAACGGAAATTTGGTAATTAAGGTAAAAATGTCCATTATGTTACCAATTTTAAAATTGATTTTTTAAAGGTAAAAAACAGGAACTTTAACTTAAATTTTGTTTAATTTAGAACAGCAGTACAATTTCATAAGTAGGACATGGACAATAGTTTCCTCAGTTTTTTCGTTAGGGCAAAAATCAAACTATATCAATGGCTTAGGTAATTGCATAGTGACGGGGTCTGTTCCGAATAGAATTTTTAACATCAATGCATATGCTTGTTCATGAAACAACTATATATTTGCTTATGGTTATAAATTGATATACCATGAGCAAAAAGAACCGAAAATAGGCAATGCTGCAAAAAGTATTGGGATATTTAGTTCAAATAACATAATGGACATTGCATGTAACATAATGGACGTTGGTAACATAATGGACATTTAATTGAAATCAATGGACAATTATAATGCAAATGAAATGTCCGTTGTGTTACTAGTAAAACAAGAGTAGATAGTACATCAATATGTAAGCCGACAATGAACGACGCGACAGCATTTCAATATTTAGTATGTATCAATTTCTTCCAGGATTTTTAACATTACTTAAACTGCTGCTGCACATATTATGCTCTATATAAGGATGATGCATATCACGATTACAGACCGGATCAATAATTGCTGAAAAAAAGTTTACTATTTTCTAGTGGTGTCCGATGATCAATTAAAATCGAAAACTAATCGGTTACACAACCAATTGCGACTAATCAATTATGAAATCCCATAATCAATTAATCGGTTGAAATTATTGCGTGCTGTTTTCTATTGCTATCTGATTAGCATCCACCTAAAAAACTACTTAAGCTTTGGTTAGGAAGTAAATTTTCCTAACAAATATGTCTTTTGGCCAAGTTGGAGCTTAAAGTTCAAAGTGTATAAAATGGTTTTTAGTAGCAGGTGGACATAAGTCAACCCTTGATTTTAAATTTACATTGTAAACCAATACAATTTGGATTA